TGCTTTGGGTATGTGGTCTGCTTCCCGTATATAAAAAGCAGTTTTGGGAATGATCTCTAGCTTATGGCTCACTTGGACCCTGCATGTAGTCATGTCATTGTTCAGCAGCCTGCCATGCTCTGCCGACCTGAGGACTTACTATGGACTTAAATTAATGGCCTGCCGTGTGGTTTGGTAAGATCAGGACTGTGCCTTTTTACTTACAAACCTTGGGCTTGTCAGCCTCAGCAGCCAGCAGCTATCTGAGTGAAGAAAAGCCTCTAGCTTCAGTGGGCTGGGAGCTGGAGATAGAGCTGAAGCCCAAGGCTGAGGGGCTTTCACCCATCCCCTAGAGCTTGCCACTTTGAACTTGGACTTAAAGCCTCCAAACTGTAAAATTATAAACTTCTGTTTGTTAAGGCATCCTATTTGTGGTATATTCCTGTCAGACCAGCACTAGGTAACCAAAATAGCATGTTTTCAGAAGGGATCCATCCCTGGAGAAAGACTATCATGGTTGGTAAATTAGAGGGTCAGAGTAAAAGGGGAAGACATTCAACAAGATGGATTTACACAGTGACTGTATCAGTGGGCTCAAGCACAGCCAAGTATTATGAGGATGGTGCAGGATCAGGTAGTCTTTTGGCAACTAACAATAACAACAACATCTACAATTTCTAGACATAGCCAAGAATATGGGGGCAGTTATCTAATTTTTAGATGCTTTTGCTACAGTGGGATATGATTGCTCAGCTCTGGAAGTTTCTTTTCACAGCTTGCAGATCTTTGTGTCAAGTCATTGGACTACAATATTCTTTCAAAGAAGATACTTAACGATATTCTGCTTAAGTTGATAAGTTGGCTGGTTGACAACATTCACCCTTAACATTTTCTTGGCCCTGGTAACTTCATAAATGTAGAATTTAGGTATATCTAGAAAAATGGTAACCAGTCTTAAGCAATCTCACAATGCTTATTTAAAATAATTCATGTTTATAAAAATTTTGCAAAATTATTACACATAAGAAGTGAAAGCCAGGACATGAATAGATACATGCACAATCATGTTTATTGCAGCTCTATTTACAATATCAAAGAGATGAAAAAACCTAAGTGCCCATCAATGATGAATGGATAACCAATCTATGGTACACAATGGAGTACTATGCAACGTTAAAGAGTATGTAGAATCCATGAAACACCTCATAATGTGGATGAACTTGGAGGATATTATGCCGAGTGAAATGAGTCAGTAGCAGAATCACAAATAATGTATTATCTCACTATTATAAAAAGTCTAGGAAAGGTTTACATATGGAAGGAAACTTTCTTTCTTGGTTACCAGGGATGGGAGGGGAGGGGAGAGAAAATTTTTAGATAGGTAAGAGACAAGTATTGATTTGGGTGAAGGGAAAGCGAGCATACCAAAGTCAGTGACCAGCACATTAACAGGAAGGGAAAGGAAGACATAGAGAAGTGACAAGAGACACAGACAACAGGGATTAAGTACTTTTACATTCACAATATTGCATTACAGTGATGCTAGACATTACAGATGGATACATAGGTACACAGGCTGACTGATTAGGTAAAAATAAAAATAATATATAAAAAGTATTATACATAGAATCTGCATACCTTTTTATTTCTTCTCCAGCATCGTCTACTATTAATATAAGATTACATAACCATAGATAATTATCCAAATAATGTTGATAGAATACTAGTAACAAATATGTGAACCTTATTTGAATTTTACCAAAAGTTCAAATTTTCTCTTGCTATTTTATTTTTCCTGGTTGAATATCCAGAATTGCATACTGCAGTTCTTTAGTCTTTCTTTTTCTTTTATAACCTCTGTACTTGTGAGAAATAGTAGCTGGCCATTCTGTAGACTATCTCTAAATTTGAGTTTGTTCATTATTTGTAATGATTAGATCATGGTTAGCAATTATGGCAGGAATACTACAGAAGAAATGTTGTGACCTCAGTGCATTGTAGCAGGAGGTACATTGATCATCAATGTCTCCTTTTCTTGAGGCCAACTCTGTCCCTTGGTTACTGTGGTGTTTGCCAGTTTTCTTGGCTGAAAATTTATATTTCTTTGTAATGAATGAGGATCTTATGGAGAGATACGATAAGACTATGCAAATATCCTCTTTCTTATCACATATTTTTGCACATATTTTAGCATCCATCAATTTTCTTCCTATTAAAACTATGACTGTGTTATTTGCCAAAAAATGATTTTCTATTTCTATCATTCTTTAGAATATTTTT